CCCCCGCATTTTCTTTAAAATTATGATAACACATTAGTGTGTAAGACGATCACCTGTCTAATAGTAGTAATAGAGCTACTTTTCTCCTCAACAATAAGTGGCCGTGTTAAACAGCTTTGGCAGTATTTATAAACCCTTTGGTTACTGCAAGATTTAACTTTTGTTCTTTTTGTTGAATGAAGCAGAGAGCTTTAGTACAGGCTCTGTTTTGGGGCACTTTAATCTAGTTACAGACCACCCACTTGGGGATTCGAACCAAGGCTATCTGAGATATTGTCCAGCACAATACCAACTAGACTATCGGATATGATCTGAGTTATGGTTCACAATACATCAGCACGATAATTGTTACATTTAGCATGGAATGAATTGATTTTAGTGATAAAAGTAATTGAAATAAAAATAAGATGAAGAAGAAGAAGAATACATGCTTGGTTTTACTTGGTAAAGTCGGAATGATTTAAGATAAATACAAGGTGATCTAAAAAAAAAACTATTTTTTTCTAAATATCTTGCACAAAATTTGTTCGAGAATGTTGTAATTTGGAGCAGTTATAATTCATTCAAAAGGAATTTGTTTGACTTAAAATTCGCAAAGAAGAAACTTATTTTTGAAAACGGAAATGGTGTTTTTTAAAAATCACCTATAAATGTAAAATGCGCCAATGTAAAAGATTTTGTGAGGAAAGTCTAGAAATGATTAGTTCTCATTTTCCTTTGCTTTTATTTTTTAAATCTAATCTTTCCTTCACTGTAACCTTTAAACAGTATTTATTTTCTCCTACAGAGATTTTTTTAAAATATTGTTTAAATTGTGAAATTCCCAGAACCGTCAATGGTATGTCCTCCTTTGGACTCGACACATTTTAACGCATCGTTCGTAGTGTTCAGTGGTGCAAAACACAAGGATCCACTCAACCATGAGTACTCAAAGCCACACACACTGCACACCTTACAGTGTGGAGCTGTTTCTGGAGACAATATAAGGGGGAGGGGGTGAGGTTACCCAAATAGAGAGCATTTGTGGAGCTGATATAACCTGGAAGGTGAATATGGGCTTTGCCATGGAACAAAATGTCGTAGAAGAAATGTTCGCGCTTTTCAAGACGATTGAGGAATCATGAACACATTGCTGTCCTCTGATAGCTTCGCAAACGGGAAAATGGTACAGTCGTAGATGAAGATCTACCTTGAGAATGCGGACCGTTGAGGAGTAGTAAAGTCCTTGATGCAGACATCGTCTACGGACAGACGTCTCATAGGGCTCATCTACTGAATGCTGCACCCTGGTAACGTTTAAAGGGATGCAAACGGTTTGTGTTTGTCCCGAAGTGGTTGTTTTGTCTGGGAATTTTTAGTTCCGATTCTCTACAGATCGTAACTGAAGGACCATTTCCACCCTTGACATTAAAGAAGGCCTTAAGGGCGCCTTAACATTATTTCCGTACCTTGTGCGAAACTTACGAAATGAGTTGATGGTGAGGAAATGTTCAATACAAAAAGCTCTCTGCTCTTTACTTGTCTTAACCATGGTCTCAGCAGGCAACGGAAACTTGGGGGAAACTATCAGCAAACTTCTTTTGGCCTGTTAGACTACTGTAGTTTGCTATATGGCGCAATCGTTTGGATTTTTAGTGGTAGACGAAATGCAAACTAGTGCGTCATGCTACAAAAATGGGGACATAGCTGAAAATGGTTTGGGGGTTTTTTACGCGCTATATAGAGTAAAACTATTCTGTGGGTTTATCTCAAATGAAAATCAGACAAATTCCTTTTGACTTCCAAATGTTGTGTACAAATTTGAAACCCAAAACTTCAGTGTGGAGGAAAATATTAACCAAAAAAGTTGTATGCTACAGGGTTTTTTTGTTTTTGTTGGGGGGTTGTTGTTTTTTTTGGATCAACCTGCATTTCCTTCGGGTTTCTTCGAAGTCCAACCGCTCTATCCGATGTGCTAGATCGTTAGGTCGGCTTGGCATCAAACAAAAATATGGTTTTTCATCTCCCCAACAGCGGGGAATAATAATAATAATAATAATAATAATAATAATAATAATAATAAATAATTTGTATAGCGCATGTCCCCACTGAAAAGCAAGCTCTATGCGCTTTACTCTATAGTGTTACCCCAGCAGACCATAGAATACGCAGCTTCCCGGGAAGCATACAGTGCAAGCAGCTGGTCAAGCGCTCAAACACTAATAAACTGACACGATCTTTCACTGTCTATAGCTGAGTACCCATTTTCACCAGGGTGAAGTGGGGAAAATTCGTGTAAAGTGCCTTTCTCAAGGACACAACGTCGGGCCCGCGGCTCGAACCCCCGAACCGGCAACCTTATGATTACGAGTCCGGTAGCCTAACTTTCAAGATGGCATTTCATAGGAGATTTTTAATACTTGATATATCCCTCAAATGTTGTGTGTGTATGTGTGTGTATGTGTGTGTGTGT